TGCTTTCTGTCTTCTAGCTGTAGTTGTCTCTGAGTATTTACATATTGAAATACATATTTATTTATCATTAACGACTTTGCTTTTATTCTTTATATCTGTTAGGACGTTAGAGTGACTAAAATATCTGCGTAGATAAGTTGCATCTGTACATTTCATTTTAGGATACTATGGGGGAGAGTTACACAATATTTGTTATAAAAGAGGGGCACTGGGTCTGATAGGGTTGAGACGTGCTGATCAAATTGAACTTGTGGCTCCCAGCAATTCTGCTGTGCTGGAATAACACGGAAATTAATTTTACTCTGGGATATCACTGCCATGTGCTCTGCCCTGGCTCGCTGTGATGACTGCTCACGTGCTGGACATTCTGCTGCTGTAACACAGCTGCTCTGACCTCAGTCATCCACTCATTATGTTGGTCCAGTGTTAACCCGGCTTCTCGGAGCAGGGCAGACCAGGAGATTGTCGGATCTTGGAAAGTCAGGTGCTGGATGTAAGCTCATAAACCTCTGAGGACTGGCATAGGAAAGGTGGTCCCATATAAGAAGCTGCCTCTGAATATCCTATTCCAGTCTTGCATTCAACCTAGAACATCAACTTCCCTTCATCCAAGCAGACCAAAAAAGGAGAACCAACATATTCTTTTTTCCAAAAGTGAAAAAAATCTTCATTAAACTCAGTTAGTTAACAAAGTCTTCCCTACAGACAGAATATTAATTTGATGAGAAGTTGGCCCTAAAGTAGTGCCTCTGAAGTGTGCCAAAGAGCCTGCCGAAAAGCAATAGATACTTGGCTTGACTGCCTTAGGCATGAAAAATGACAGACTTTGCATTTATGGGGGCCTCCAGGTGGCTCAGTGTTTAGTGAAATCTCAGACTGTATTGCAACACTGCTGTTGCCACCTCCTTCCAGGACCGCTGCCCTCGACTGCCAAACATTCGAGAAGGAGTGTAGGTTTGTCCCCAGTGAAAGCAGCACAGGGCAGCTGCTTTGTGGGGATGTGACTCAGGCCAGCTGTGCTGAGGCTCACCATGCGATTCAACTGCTCCATCTGCCGAGTCAACTGGGAAATGCAGAAGACCACGGGAAGGGAAGAGGGGGAGAGGGAGAGGAACAAACACTGACATGACAACCATCATGGTCCCTGTATTGGGCTTGCTGTTCACTATGTTTACGATTCAGAGAAATCCATACAAGGAAAATGTTGTTCTACCCATTTCACAGAGGAGAAAACTGAGACTCAGAGAGGCTGAATTACTTTGCTCAAGTTCACACAATTGTTAGGTGGCACCCTTGACTTTTGAAGCCTTCCACTCAGTAGGGAAAGCTAACGCTGTCGATCAGGCACTATGTTAATTCGTTTCACTTTGAATGTCTTATTTCATACAGCCAGCCTTTGAAGTAGGTGTTATCCTGAGTTTTAGAAATGGGGAACCTGAAACTTAGGGACATTGGGTAACTTATGTGAGGTCCCAAAGTCACTGAACGGCAGAATTCTGGTTCTGAAGCTTGGCTCTAACAAACGGCGAGTTGAAGGGGAAAAAAGAGAGATAGAATAATACCACACCTGTAAATAAGGAGAACACCACTACAATAATTCTGGATTCACTGTCACTCTCACCATTTCCACAGAGCAGCTGTGCTTTGCTTTACGCAGCACAGAGTGATGAGAAAAGATGTGTGAATAAAATCTAGGTAAAGTGAACAATTTGGAAAAGAAGCTCACGACTGAAATAGGTTCCACTGCAAAGTGTTTTGTTGCAGAGAAGAATAAATCTGTAATTCAGCTTTTTGTAAAGAATGGGTTTTCATACTTTGCAGTTGCTTGAAACAAATAAAAAGATAAATTTCACATTAACTCATGTATATGTTCTCCTTAGACAAATGAAAAAATTACAGATAAATCATTTGACTCACATCTCCAACTTTGCCCTCCATACTTTCCAAGTACAGTCCCCAGATGCAGACGGTGTGTATCCGTTGAGAATTTTTCTATGTATTTGCTTTCCTCTTTTGAAAATAGGTAATTGTATTATGTGTATCTTTACGTAAACAATGCAAAGTGTCCAAATTGCTTTCTCCCTGTCTGCCCCAACTTAATATAATTTAGAGTGCTTTCCATGTCAGAGTATACAGATCCGCCTCAGTATTTTTTTTTTAAGTATTCTATAGAATGGATATATCATAGTTTACACAATTGTTTTCCTATTAATGGACATTTGGTTTCTTTCCGGTTTTTTTGTGTGTGAGGAAGTTTGGCCCTGAGCTAACATCTGTGCCAGTCTTCCTTCATTTTGTAGGTGAGATGCCTCCACAGCATGGCTTGATCAGTGGTGTGTATGTCTGCACCCAGGATCTGAACTTGCAAACCTCAGGCTGCCAAAGTGGTGTGCACGAACTTAACCACTACACCACCGGTTGGCCCCTCTGGCTTTTTGTTCCTACTGTAAACAATGCCAAATTAAAAATCCCTGTACATACCTCTTAGTGCATGCGTGCAAGGTTCTAGAGGATAGATACTAGGACATGGAAATGCCAGGTAGTAGGAATGCACATTAAACTATTAAAAGAGCCAAACTGCTCTTCCAGAATGTATATACTTACCAGCAACACCTGCCTTTTCCATTATCTTTATCAACTTCTGTTATTATGACTTTTAATCATTGGCATTCTTTTGGTTGAGATTATCTCAATTAAAAAAATTAGCATTTCTTTTATTCTTAGTGAGTCTGAGCATCTCATGTTCATCAAACAGGGGCCAGCCCAATGGTGCAGCGATTCAGTTCATGCCCTCTGCTTTGGTGGCCTGGGGTTCGCCGGTTTGGATCCTAGGTGTGGACCTACATGCCGCTCATCAAACCATGCTGTGACACGGGTCCCACATATAAAATATAGGAAGATGGGCACAGATGTGAGCTCAGGGCCAGTCTTCCTCAGCAAAAAGAGGAGGATTGGCAGCAGATGTTAGCTCAGGGATATTCTTCCTCAAAAAATAAATAAATAAACAAATAAAATACATTCCTTGTTAAAAAAAAAAGTCTTATTTGTTATGATCTTTTGGGTTTTTTAAATAGATTATTCTATATCCTGCAAATAGGGGTAGTTTTGTCTAGTCTTTCCCATACTTGTATCTTTGGAACTCCTGGCATTCCAGTTTTACTATGGTGAGTGTATGGGTGGGTTTCTTCTCTATTTAACTGCATTTCACTTGGCTTCCTAAATCTGAGAAACAGTGTCTTTCAACAAGTTAAGAAAATTTTTCAGCCATTTGCTCTTCAACTATTGCCCTGTTACTTTCTTTCTAACACTTCCATCTAGAATTCCAATTAATCGTATTTTAGTTCTTGTCATATTGCTCCATATGTCTCTTCCTTCCCATTTTCCACATCTTTGTCTTTTTGTCTACATTCTGCATAACTTCCTCAGATCTCTCCTCCAGTTTGTCAGATCTGCTGTATCCTACCTGTTTAAACCATCCATTTCATTTTTTTTTCCTGAGGAAGTTTGGCTGAGCTAACATCTGTTGCCAATCTTCCTCTTTTTTGTTTGAGGAAAATTGTCCCTGAGCTACCATCTGTGCCAATCTCCTTCTATTTTGTATGTGAGTTGCCACCACACCATTGCCACCAACATGTGTTGTAGGTCCACACTTGGGAACCAAACCCGGGCCACTGAAGCGGAGAGCACTAAACTTAACCAGTAGGCAACCGGGCCGGCCCTCCCCATCCATTTCACTTTTAAAATAATTATATATTTGTTGAAGTTTTTTTGGGTTCTTTTCCAAATATCCCTGATCAAATTTGATAGTCTCATTTTCTCCCTCCTATTTTCGGTGCCTTTTTCTTAACTCATATTAAATTACTTATTTTATATTTTGCATCTAAAATGTCCATATCTGTGTTCTTTGCAGTTCTCTTTCAGCACTTTTTTGTTTCCATCAACCCTCACTCCTGTTTCTTTGTGTGTTTAATGATTTTTGACCAGGGGTTCATGTTTCTTGGAAAGTTATCCATGGGATTTTTCTTTGAGGTCTGGGTTCAAAGTATGTTCATCGAGAGGAATTTTCATTTGCTTCTGCCAGGCGCATGGGAACACTATCAACCTGGGGTCATTTCAAACAAAACTTTCATCTCAGAGTATGTCCCATCCCAGGAGTAGTGTCAAGTCAGGCTTGTGGTGCCTGCGTCTTGACTGGTTCCTCTGTGGGTGTTTTCTCCCTTTCATTTGCCTACTGAGCAGGCCACACTTTGGGTGGGGGCATCCAATCCAATTGCGCGACCCCCCGTATTAGTTTACTAGGGCTGCCATAACAAATCCCACAGACTGGGTGGCTTAAATATCAGAAATGTGTTCTCCCACAATTCTGGAGGCTGCAAGTCCCAAATCAAGGCATTGCAGGGTTGGTTCCTTCTGAGGGCTGTGAGGGAGAATCTGTTCCACGCTTCTCCCCTAGCTTCTGGGGGTTTCCTGGCAACCTTTGGCATTTCTGGGCTTGTGGAAGCATCACCCTGATCTCTGCCTTCATCTTCATTTGGCATCCTCCCTTGTGTGCATGTCTGTGTCCAAATTTCTCCTTTTTCACAAGAACACCAGTCATATTGGAGTAGGGTTCACCCTAATGAGCTCATCTTAAAACTTAACTAATTACATCTGCAATGACCCTATTTCCAAATAAAGTTACATTCTGGTGTCATAGGGGTTAGGACTGCAACATAAGAATTTAGGGGGACACAATTAAACATGTAACTTCCCTGGGTTGTTCGAGACTTTGTTTCCAGTCCACATGTGCATGGCCCATTTAAATGGAATCTCCAGGTGAGTAGGGGCTAGCACACACCCAGGGGTAAATACCAACTCAAATTCCCACTTGCCTCACTGGATTTGCCATTTTTGACCTCCAGATAATTCCATTAGTTTCTCACCAGGTCAACCAGGCATTTAAAGAGATGCTTCAAAAATTTTATCCATCACATTACGGTTCACAAAAGGAGTGGTTTTTCTCAAGATCTACTCCAAAATGTTCCTGGAAATGGGGACTTCTTTTGGTGTAAGATGAATGCAGAAGTCCCGCATGGCTTCTCCTTGGAAAGAAATAAAAATTCCAAATGATTAAATTTAATGTGACCAACAATTTTGAATAAACCTCCCAAATATGCCTCTTCCTGACATAGCACAAGATATGAAAGAAATGAAAAGTAAACAAAATATAATCCTGGCAGAAATTCTACGTTTAGACAAAGAAAATATTTAGCAGTACCGTGCATCCTGCCCGAACTGATGAGATGCTAATATAAATTTGGAACTATTCAAATTAGTTTTCTTTGCTTGATGCATTTAAAAAAAAGTTGGAAGTAATCCTCCAATAACTGTTTATCCTGCCAGCAAATTGTAGGGCTACAGAATGAAGACCATCTGCCCACACATCATATCCGACTATAATAATAAACTTTACTTAAGTAGTTTGATGCTTATAAAGTCTTGATGCACGTGCTAATTTTCCGAGTGGTGTATATCACAGAGGATTTGTGTTTGCTTCTGCCAAAACATAGTTTTACAGTAACTCTGTTTTTTAAAAAAATTGATTTGTTTCTTTCCAACTCATGTCTTTCACAAAGCATAGCTAAACCTTAGCCTTTTCCCCCAAACTCTTTCTTCCCCTCCCTACCCACTGCCTGGCCTTCACCAGGAGGGCCCTGTCCCTTTGGCCACGCCTCTGCAGAGCCTCCTCAAAAGGATCTTTTTCCTCCCATTCTCACTGTTTTTGAAAATGAGATGCATTCTGAAGGACCCCTTCACTTTTAATTCACCCCTCCCTTCAATTCTGCTTTTGGGTGGAGTACCTCAATACATGTTAATTATTTTTGTCTGGTTATACTTCCCCTGGTGAAAGAGAAAACCAGTATCAAAAGGAACCACCTATATATTATTTCTATTTATAGTCTAATGCAGGGGTTCTGAAAGTGTGGTTCATAGACTTGCTAGAAATGCAAATGTTCTGGCCCCACTTCAAACCTACTAAATCACAAGCTCTGGGTGTGGGGTCCAGCCACCTGTTTTAAGAAGTCCACCAGGGGATTCCGATACACACTCTGGTTCGGGAAGCTCTGGGCTATGTCTCCCTCCTCTCCTTTCCTTCTCTTATTAGGTGTGCGTCCAGTCCCTCTCGGAGGCCCCTGGAGATGCTGATAAGCACTGGAGTCTCTTCTTACAAACGCTGAGACTGGGAAAAGCAGATTCCCGAAGAGCAAGCGTGCAAACACGTAAGTTGTAGCATTTAACTGCCTCCCTTGCAAGATTAGAGTATTTGGATGGGAAGAAAAATCTGAGAGCAAGCAGCCACTCAAAGCTACTTGATGCCACAGCCAAAGAAAGCAAGATAACTCCTGTCCCCATCTTTTCAGACTCTCTCTCACCAACCCTGGGGCAAAAGGCAATGGGCTGAATGACCGTCTCCTCCCCACTGAAACACGGTATGGAATGTTGTACGTCCCAGACCTGAGGCGGAGTTTTGGAGGGTCTCCTAACTGGGTCTGAGGATTTGCTAATTTTCACTTGCAGAGAATTTGTCTGTTGAGTGTTTTATCAGATCAGATTAAGTTTGACTGCATAGTCCAGAAAACTAAAAACTGTCAGTAATTCCAGTGGTTAAAAGAGATGGAAGTTAATTTTTCTCTCATATACAAGGCCAGAGGTATGCAGTCAAGGGTTAGTGCAACAGCTCCATGGTCATCAGGAACCCCGGCTCCATTTTCTTTCTGCTTTACCATCCTTACTGGTCCAATTCATGGTATAAAATGGCTGCTTAAGTTCTCAGCATTACATCTAAATTCCAGCCAGCAGGAAGGAGGAAAAGAGCACATCCCCTCCCTTTAAGAGCACGTTCTGGAAGCTAAACAGAAAATCTTACTTACGTTCATTGACTAGTACCTAGTCACATGACATCTCCAGTTGCAAGAGAGGCGGGGAATTGTAGTCTTTATTTTGAATGGTCATGAGCCCAGCTAAAAACCAGGAGTTTTATTAGTAAGGGAGAAGGTTGAGGAGAATTTGCAGTCTCTGCCTCTGAGGCCCAACTTTAAAGGCTGTGGATCACACCTCCATCACTTCTGGCTTCCCAGGTCCACCCCCAGATCTCTTGCTTGAGTTTTTTTGGCCAGTTCTACTGGTAGACTTACCTCTCTGTTTTTCTCACTTCTAATTAGATTCACCGACTGCAAGAAATCATGTGGGTCTTTTGAGTAGTGAGGAAATTCAAAACTTCTTATTAATTCTTTATGTTATTCCATACAACTCACTTTGGAGACTTTTGAGGCTGCAAGACTCATTCTGTTACTGTCTGGAAAAGAGCACATTGTCATGGTTCTTTCAGTTAGAATATGAAAGCAAAGCAGCCTTTGTTGGGTCATAGATGTGATCATGACTGCTGCATGGATTCCAGCCACTGTCAAGCGTGTTCTAGGAAATTGAGGCAGTTCTGCTCAGAAGCTTCCATCTTTGCACCTTAAGTCCAAAAGCAACTCTTAATGTGAGGCCTTGTGAAATCTCATATAGCTTAGCATCATCATGTCCCTGAGCCTATCCATTCTTGAAATGTCTCTGGGATATAGTCTAACCACTACTGAAAGTCTTTTTTCTGGACCATTATGTCTCATAAATATTATGTCTCACAAATTTCTGATGGCAGTTAGCTCATATCAGAGGTTCTAAAGACTGCTGAACAGTAAGTTCCACAGCCATATGGACCCCTTGTTAATGATCATTCAGTCTTGGGATATGAGCAGAGCAAGTCTTCATGACTAGGCAGCCTGTTATGCTGCACTAAACAACAACTCCAACAAAAGTCCAATTTAAACCATCTTTTAGATGACAAGGGAAATTGCTGGCTCACATAACTGAAAAATGTTGGGCCAAGTCTCACTTTGGGCACGTTCTGGGTGTTCGAGTCATTTTGTTTGGGGTTTTTTTTCTCTATCTCTTGGCTCTGCTTTCCTCAATGTTGACTTCATTCTCAGCCTGGCTTTCTCCGTACAGCAGAAAAGATGACTTGCTGCGATAAATGATAGTTCTTTGGGGTCCCCAACAGTAGATAAAGTATAAAAGTGTGCTGAGATAAAAAAGATCTGAGAAAAAGATGAGAAAAGCTGAGAAATGCTGAGATACATACATCCTAATGAGTCAATCACTGCAGTCAAGATATCTTTCACTAACAACCATAAATGTCACCCACCCAATCATTTAATAACGACTCACCTACTGTGTTCTAGGTACCACTTGGCATCAGGGATACCACGTGTGTCCACATCTGTAGTGGAAGTGGAGTCAGCCATACCCAACCATATCAAATGGGTTCTCCAAAGGAAAGCAGATTTTGTTACCAGAAAGAGGAAAAATTGCTGAGCGACCCCCAACAGAGATACCCTTCCACCATGGTAGGTGCTGTGTTTGTTGGCAGAAAACCAAAATTTCTAATTCATTCAGAATTAGAATTTACTAAGTTGACCAATGGGACAGAACAAACAAAAAGGAAAATCTTTGGAACCTTTTCCCATGAGATCCAGAGTCCCACTCCACCCATGTCCCTTTTGTCCAAGGCCAAAGGGAGTGGAGAGAAGCTGGTAAAAGTTTGTAGGGCCTGGTAGTGTGGAAGGAGGCCTGAAGCAAATTCCAGTAAGGAATTTTTGCTTGCTAGGGCTTGAAACATTCTTTTCACTAGGCACCTAATCCTAGTGTTTTGGCCTATGGCCATGGGATGGTCAGGAAATGACTGCGACAAATCCCCAAATAAAAGATTAGCCGGCTAGGGACTTCCAGGGGAACAATCTTGCTCAGAAATGGCAGTGAAGGGTGGGCAACTCGGCTTCTTCCACAAATATTGGGCCCATTATGGAAGGAAGGCAAACAGAGAGATGGGATTTCATTTCACCCAGAGTATAGCTCTGATTCCTCTGGGCCAAAGCCAATTCTGTAAAATGGGGACTGGTCTAGAAAGGGATGTGGCTCAGAGCTTCCCCTCAAGGGACAGGCATCTGCAGCCTGGGTGGCAGCTGGACTGTGATTTCCACTGTAGGATAGATAATGCTTCCATTTGATTACCAGCAAATGATTTTCTTAAGCTACTAAATCTTCATGCAATTTTGAAAGGCCTCTTATTATAGATATTTTCGTTTTCAAGCATATCCAAAAGTAGAGAGAATATTCTAATGAACATCCATGACCTACCACTCAGCTTTCACAGTGATCCATCCATGGACAATCTTATTTTATCTATATTTCTACTCATTCCTTCTGCCCCCTGAGATAATTTTTTTTTTCCTATTTTTTTTTTTTTTTGAGGAAGATTAGCCCTGAGCTAACTACTGCCAGTCCTCCTCTTTTTGCTGAGGAAGCCTGGCTCTGAGCTAACATCCGTGCCCATCTTCCTCTAGTTTATACATGGGACACCTACCACAGCATGGCTGCCAAGCAGTGCCATGTCCGCACCTGGGATCCGAACCAGCGAACCCCGGGCCGCCAAGAAGCGGAACGTGCGAACTTAACCACTGCACCACCGGGCCGGCCCCAACCCTGAGATAATTTTTAAAGATTATCATATAACAGATATCATACTGTTTTAAATAATTATTTTTAAAGATTTAAAAAGTCACAAAATCCATATAAAATGTTCTAATGGTGTCACACTAACTTCCACAAACTCACAAATCAGAATTATATAAACCTGGTCCAAAAAATCATTTTGCTTTTATCCTTCCCACCCCTACATCCACCTTCTCCCATGGAGATATTTGGACATCCCCTACGCCAACAGTATAATCTCAATTATAGGCCCAAGTTTCAAAAATTGTGAATCTTTGGAGGCAAATCTGTGCATGCATGTGTTTCTCCTTCCCATTTTGAAACCAAATGACCTCAACATTTGGTTTGCCATGCACATGTTTGATTTTTCACTCCCCTCACCCCTGGGCACTTGAAGGCAATCTCTGCATATGTCTGGATTGCCTCACATATTCCCCAAGGCAACATCAGTTGTGAAATACCAGAATGGATACAGCAGACATCTCTCTTCTGAACACCGAGCGCAGAATCTGATGCACGGTGCTAATGGTGATAGGATGCTGCATCTCACAAAGACAAGGGAACATGTTGAAATTTTCAGATCCACAGCTTCTGGGGCTCTCGCATTGAACCGTGATTGGAGCTTTGCAGACTTAAAAGATAAAAAAAATGATGATCTCCATGCATAAATAAAAATAACTGAAGTAGAACCCCAAGTAAGTACCTATAAAGTGGACTTGAAAACATTAATTAAAAAATGCATCTCATCTGTAATGGGTTTATTGAAAAGTCTAAATTCACTGGGGTAGAAAGTGGTTTTTAACCTTTCTTGAATCTCCTCTTTGTTGATTGCAGCTCCTTTCATTAATCTTGACCAAGTTCTACCTTTCTAGTCACCTTTGGGAATTAAGACCAAGTTCTGTTCATTTAAAACACTTTAACCTTGAACTTGATTTAAATCTTGGCTCTTCCCTGCTCCCTGACTCCAGCGGAGGCTAGGGCTGTGGGCCTGGCTGCTTGGAAGGGGGCAGGGGTCTGGTGCTGAGTCCTCCACCCTCCGCCAAGCTCCTGGAGGGTTGGAGAGAGGCAGGAGGTGTGAGGGCCAGCTTTGGTCACTGCCACATGTCAGCGTGTGGAGGGATCCCTGGCACCGGGCTGCCACCCCTTCTCTCACCTCTGTGCTCCCTTGCAGGTAGGCCCCCTTGCACACAGCTTGGGGAGGCTGTCCCCATCATCTTCCCAGGGACAATAAACCACAGTCCCTTCAAGCCCTGCGGGAGAGGCTACTCCCACCAGGCCTCTGACTTCACGAGAGCAGGTGTTAGTCGCTATGTACCAGTACGTCCCCTCTCTTCAGGGCATCTGTGCCAACCACCCCTCTCTTCTTCCCATGGTGGTGGTGGGTGTGGTGGCAGAGGAAAGCAAACCACACTCCTAGACTCCTAGAGCATCCTCGCTTGAGTGGCAGTGACGACGCAGGCCAGTGAGTTCTGCAGTTCAACACACAGCCAGCCAGAGAACACGCTGCCCTCTTACATTCTCAGAAGCACCCCACGCTGTTATGGGTAACCCTCTTGGAGCTGCCTCTCACTTGGTTTTGGGGATGGGAAACTCCCCTCCTCATCTCCACGGGTAGGGAATAACTTGGCATCAAGAAGACCGTGTTCTCTGCAAGGCTGTCTGCCCCTCCCTCTCCCCGGTCCTCTCCTCCCACGGCCTGGGGTTGCCTGGGAGGTGGTGGGGAAGGAGGCACAGTTCTGAACAGGAACCGCTCACTAAGCACTGTGGGGAGGGGGCTGCAGCCTATTTTATGATGCTCACTTTAGAATGTGGGGGTTCCTAGTGCATTTTGTCCTCAGCTTTGGGTCAAAACACAATTTTGGTTCCATGGAAAAATTCTATTTCCTGGGCAGGAGAAACCCACCTGTAAGCACACACTTACACGTGGAAGAGGCAGCAGGAGGAGAAGTACACTAGAGGCCTTGTCGTCTTGGCCAGTGTGTCTGGTGGTTGCTTTTCCTTAAAAGGGGTGAAAGTCAGAACAGGTGGCATTATCTAGGATGAAGAATTCAGTCTTGAATATAAAATAAAAAAAAAAAAGAATTTCCCCAAAAGTCTTTAAGGATTGGCACCCGGGCTAACAACTGTTCCCAATCATTTTTTTTCCTGCTTTATCTCCCCAACCGCCCCCCCATACACAGTTGTATATCTTAGTTGCAGGTCCTTCTAGTTGTGGGATGTGGGACACAGCCTCAACGTGGCCTGACAAGTGGTGCCATGTCCGCGTCCAGGATCTGAACCCTGGGCTGCTGCAGCGGAGCGTGCGAACTTAACCACTCGGCCAAGGAGCCGGCCCCTGGGGAAATTCTGTACAGAGAAAAATTAAAAAGGTGATGGGGCTTCCGTATGTATGGATACAGGCCTGTGACTTCATTCACTAGACTATAATCCTATCCACACAGGGGCTAGGCCTGGTCTTGTTAACTATTATATTTCCAGGGCTCACCACAGTGTACATCACATAGGGTCAGTCAATGCATATTTGTTGAAGAACTGAATGAACAGAAGTATTGGGGGGCCACTGGTGGCTGTATCTTCAGCAATTGGTCACTTCCTGCTAACATTTTCTGAACTCCTATTGTACACCAAGCATTGTTCTAGGTCCCCCAGAAGCCATGAAGATTGTTAATTCCTGTCCTCAAAGAGTTTAAGACTAATGGTGGGAAACATTGGCACAACTACCTACCAATAGTCTCCAGATTCCATTTGGGAGAAAGCAAGGACCCCATCTTTGAAGCCAGCAAGGAATGGGAGATGGAGAAGCCCCTGGCACAACTCCCACCTGGTTGGAGCCCTGATCGAAATTGTTGCATGTGAGGCTCCATTCATTCTTCCATGTTTTCCTAGCATGGCGTGGGGGCTAGTAATGGAAGTGACTTGGAATCGCCCAAATTCACAATGATGGGTAGTGCGGAGAACATGCATTGCACTGGAAGAGAAGGTGCATTTGAGGTAACTAAGCTCATGGGTTGTGGTCTTGGCTTCTCTTGGAACCCACCCTCCTTCCCTGGGAACTAGCCATGCCTGAGCTTAGCCGAGATTAGATCTGTTTTTTCCCCTGCGTTATATCTCACTAATTTCCTCAAAATTGCTTTCAGTTCAGGTCTTCACAGGGAATCAGGTGACTGACTGCTTCCCGTAGCTGCTGCATAATGGATAAACCAGTTCTCTTATGGGAAAGCTGTCGCCTGAGAGAAGGGTCGCTGAGAAGGGTAGTTAGTGGTGAGCATTTCGGACTTGAGGCAGACTCACAGAAGGGGCTTGGTATTTTGGGTGTCAGCTGCAGAGACTCCCCATTCCCTCAGAGGGTGGCCCTTTCCATGCAGCCGGGAGAACAGTAGCCAGATTCCTTGGTCTCACTCGGGACTTTTAGAATCAAGTACAAGGTAGAAAAGATCCTGAATTGCCTGAGGAAGGATGTGTACGAGATGCCCATGTACCTCTCTGCAAAATGGGTGTCGGGAGCAGTATAGCTGCAGCCCCGCAGTCGCGCCTGACCATGAACGGGCCACCGAGTGGAACTCCCAGTCCCGTAATAATCGGGGAGCCAGGCAGAGGAAGACCTACGTGCAACGAAGTGAGTGTTGGTTACTCAACAAAGACTCGCTCAGGGAAGTGCTCTCCCTCACCCAGCACCGATTCCATCCTTGATAGCAGGATGCCCGTGTAGCTGGGCAAGCCAATTCCCTGGGGCAACCATCATTTATTTGGAACACCCAAATCAAATCCGATCAGTCCAAAGGCTTTCATCCCACCTCGTGTGAATACTTAAGATAAAGTGTGTGTCGACCTGGCCGGTGGCGTTGGATCTCAGCGGCAACAGCACCACAGAATAAGCCCTGAAAGAAAAATGGACTTGACTGCTGGCCTTCCAAGGCTGTTTTGAAGGGATCTCTTTTTTTTAAATGTTTCCCAGCTGTTGCTTCCTTTCTGCATAATGTGAGCTTAATTCAATTTGTGGCACCTTTCTCTTTTCCAGATTTGTTCAGAAGGCAAATTAGCCCCATATGGCTCTCTACAGTTATATATATGTTCCGCTGGTTTTGGCTGAGACTTTTACTGAATTGTAAATAAATGACCCCACTGGTACATGGGAGAAGTATTTCACATTACACGGTCTTTCAATCATATGGCATGACGGCAGTGTGGCAAGATGCTGTGCATTATCTCCAGAATGCTGGGAGTAAAAAGGTCAACAACCGTCTCCGAGCTGACTCGGGGCCGATCCAGCGCATTACTGTGTATCTGTGGGGCAGGCAGGCAAAGCAGAGGATGCCAAGAATGCCCACGGATTAGTTTAAAAAAACCTAAAAACAGCAAAACCTGACTGTGGAAACAGTTCCATCCTCATATACCATAAAACGATTTATAAAGCAAAACATGGCTCCACAGATACCACCTTCCTCCTGGTTTAATCATTTCCCCCGCCCCGGTTCCCATTCCCAGTGTGGTTGGCAGTGATGTTAGAGACGGGAGAGGATAAAAAGCCACAGAAAATAGGCTGGAGGAGAAGAATTCAAACCATAAGTCATCACCTTGCCAGGAATGGACGAGACTCTGGAGTCTCTGAATTGTCTTGGATGCTGGTGAAGATACTACACCATGTGGGAAGAGGAGGCAATCAAATTCAGCTGAGTCGTCAGGTTGTGTGGACTTCCTTTTCTGCCCTCCCATCTCTGAGAACCAGCCTCAAAATATGAGTAACCTGTGCCACAGCCTATGGCGGGCAGGGCAAGGGGGTGGGG